TAAAGCTGCTGAAGGAAATGTTCCATATCTTGACTGGCTAGTGATTACATGGGTGTATACATTTATCAAAACTTACCAAACTGGCATTTAAAATAGGGCAATTTTACTGTGTTGAGTTATACCTCCATCTGGGCGATTTCTTTAAACACGTCCCAAGATGACTCCAATATATAGCTCAGTTTGGTAACCACTGTTATAAAGTACCAGGAGCCTAGTCATAAAGCCTTAATTCTTCCTCCATGAATTAGTTCTCTGGGCACTACCAAATGCAAACAACTCTTCCAAATTAAATGCCACGTGTATGATTATTAAGTACTATAAACGGTACACTGAATCATAAGGTGAAGGGACATGTCTGGCATCAGGATTAAGAGAGAACCCCCGCAGAGCACTCTGTTCCAGCCCCTTTCACAGAGGAGGAAACCAGGGGACAATCGGGCCACACTGCTTGTCCAGGACCACCAGCGAGTAAGCTTCAGAGTGGGCACCTGTTTCAGTCCTTCTCCTGTGCCCACGTGCTTTAACTTCCTTTTCTGAATTTTGACAAGTTCTCCACAAAAGTCTCAACAACAATTAAAAAAAGAAAAAAGACAGATCCTTTGGAATGACCATAAAAGTTAACGAGATTTTACCCAGAAAAGATCTCCAAAAAAACTATGTACATGGTTATTTCCAACAAAGCTGCCAAATCGTGTCCTAAAATTATCTCCTGACAAAAGGACAGTTGTAACACTGTTTTAAGATAAAATACCCATTTTAACTTAAGTCTACTTCCTTAAGCTGTGGAAACCTAAGCTGCAAACAGGGTTAGGTAAGAAGTACCCTAAAGTAACATCAGAACATTTGCTCTCTGATCCACAGCAGCAGCAAGAGAGAACTACAGTCATCTGCACCAGACTTGCTCACATACAAACATCCACCAGGAGAACCCAGGGAATAGAACAACGTACGCATAATGAAAGCACAATGTTCTATCACAGGCTTGAAAACAAAAGGGTTTTCCCCCCTTCAAAAACTGTGATTGTAGTCCTGTATTTTAAAGCAACCTGGAGTTTTAACATTTAATGTCAATATTCTTTTGTTGTTCTCCCTTACAAAAACCATCAGTTCTTATGTGGGGACTGCGTTGGTGGGCATTAAGGTAGTCAACTGGCTCAAAATCTTTTTCCTGTCAGTTTCAGGAAACTACAGGTTGAGATGCCAGATTTCCTAAAATTAGAACACTTTGTGAAGTACATAATTTATGAATCATAATAGGCCAGAAAGAGAGACACAAAGCATGCAGAGCAGGTACATGATGGAAATAAATGTTTCCGAGTCCTGACACACACAGCTGTTCCAGAATCCTCTGGTTATACAAGGTGGCAGTGGCAGGTAACAGAGGGGGAAGGGGAATATCGCCTGCAATACATCTGCCTTTCCCACCCACTTGTTGCAGTCTCACCTCTGCTGTGATTTACCGGCAACAGTAACTCCTACAGCGACACAGAAACAAAGAGCAAGAACAGGAAAGCAAACATGGCTTTTCTCCTATTCGGTCGGGGCAGCAGCAAAGAATACTGTATATTAACTTTATGCTGGTTATCAATCAACTCCTTGTCACTCTTAAGGCAAGCAGTTGCCGGATAAACACAATGCACTGATGTCTTAGAGCAGCGCGTCTCAACCTGTGGGTCACAACCCCTTTGGGGGGGTGTCAAATGACCCTTTCACAGGGGTGACGTCACCCAAGACCATTGGAAAACCCCTATTTCCAATGGCCTTAGGAAGAGACACCCCTCCCCTCTCCCTCTCCAGGCGGGTCCGCCCACATGCAGATGTGCCCACATCCGAGTACCCAGCGTGAAGACTGTTGCCCATGCTACACCATGCTTCAAGACAAAATTTCATTTATTTGTCATTAGAAATAAATATTTCACAATATATAATTACATATTGTTTTTTGTGATTAACTGCTATACTTTCATTCTGTTCAATTTGTAACAATGAAACTACATCCTGCATATCAGGTATTTACATACATGATGATTCATAACAGTAGCAAAATGACAGTTATGAAGTAGCAACGAAAATGATTTTATGGTTGGGGGTCACCTCAACATGGGGAACTGTATTAAAGGGTCGCAGCATTAGGAAGGTTGAGAACCACTATCTCAGAGGAAAACTCTACTTGAACAGGGAGAAAACATGGGCTCTAGGCACTGCACACATTAATTCACTTAAAATTGCTACAACATAGGTGTTATCTCCCTTTCAGAGATGTAGGTCAAATAAAACAACCTGCTTAATGCAATATTTATGATAAAAAATCTGACTTTATTTTTCTTTAATGTAATGATGTAGAAATAAGTGAGCATACATTCTGCCCTGTATCCAGACCCTGTTTTCTGACTGAGGAGTTAATTCAAGTTTCCTGGATCAGCAACACTGATACCAGGGTGCCACTGGCCTGGCTCAGTTGTCCCTTACAGCCAGCAGCTACATAAGGCTGATGTCTGGGACCTGCTCAGGACCTTTAGAGGATATGCATGTCTCCAATTTATCAGCAGAGTCCATCAGCACCCATTTAGAATGTAAGTGGGGTTCAGAAAGTTCATAGGAAAAGTGAGATTTCTACTTTTTTTTGAAGCCCCCTCATATATTCTGAATCCCACCACTTCTCACCAATCCCATTGTTAACCTTACTTGTCTAGGTCACTGCTTCCATATTTGCCTCTCTACAATCTAACCTCCATTCATAAAACCAAACTCACTGCCATGAGTCCATGCTCGGTGACCCTATAGGAGAGGGTCGACCTATCTGCCCCCTGTGATTTCTGAGATTGTCACTCTTCACAGAAGGAGAAAGACCCCTCTTCTGTGGAGTGGCTGGTGGTTTTGAACTGCTAACCACTATGGTCAACGGGGCTCCATTGTCTAATCTTCACAGACCACCTTATTCCCATTATAAAAACTCTTCAATGGTCTCCAATACTTCATATAAACGAATTTCCAACTGGTCACCTCTACATTTCTTCCACTCTTTCCCCATGTTCTCTTCGCACCAGCGATTCAAGCCTTTTTGCTGTTCCCTAGACAACGGCAAGCTCAGTCTCCTCTCAGGTCTTTGCACTTGTCTTCTCCATGCTTGTGGAACTCTGCCGTCCTTTTTTGCTTAACCCCACTGTCATGGAGTTGATTCCAACTCACACAACCCTATGTGGGATTTCCAGGACTACAAATCTCCATGGGACCAGAGAACCTCCACTTTCTGCTGAGGAGCATCTAGTAAGTTTGAACTGCTGACCTGCGGTTAGCAGTCCAACACGTATCTCAGGGTTTTTTCTTGCTGTGGTCCAGGTCAATGACTTTTTGTCACCCTCAAACAGTATTAAAGGAATACCTATCTGACTGAAGTAAGTAAACTGTCCTTAACCTCACCTCTTTTGTAGATGTTATTCTTCTTATGGTAGTTACCATCCGTTAAGTTGTACTGCACCAAAGAAACCTTGTTTACGTTGTCAATGATGAGTCTCCCCACCGGAATGAAAACTCCATGAGGGCAAGTGTTGCCTTTGTTTTCTTCAGAGGTGGCCTGGAGCCCACCCATCAACCAGATTCCTGGTACATGGAAGCTATTTGGCAACTATTTGTTGAATGAATGGATCCTGACTAAGCCGTAAGCTAGCTTGGCCATCCAACTTGATACTAGCCGAGGAGAACAAAGCCAATACAGCACAAGGTGCCTTTACTACAAGGCAGTCATTCTCATCAAAAGAGAAGATGCATTCCCAAGTTAGTTTGCGTCTCCACTGACAGAGTTCCTTCAGGTCAAAGAAGAACCAGGAAAGGTAACCAAAGTGAGACTAGGATGTCTACTGTGGTATCAATTAAATGAAGAAACTTTAACCGCCAGTTATTTCTAACCAATGTAAAGTTGATGAACAGCACCTGGACAGGTTGCTATACCATTTCCAAGTCTGTGTCACTGCTGACTACTCGAATAAGAGGAAGAATTGTCCTCTGATCTTCATTCTCTAGTGAGTTCATTTGCTATCTCCACAGTACAAAAGACTGGATAGTGCAATCAGTCAAGAGCTCAGCTACTAATCAAAAAGTTGACAGTTCAAACACACCCATCCAGAGGCTCCTCAGAATATAGGCTTCTGAGAGGTCAGCCTGAAAACCAGCTTAGTCTGCAACCCATGAGGCCACTATGAGTCAGCATCTACTTGTCAGAAACTTTAAAAAATACACAATACAATTAACTGCATGGATGTTCAAGCCACTTGACCTAAAAAGTGTAAGCATAAAAATGATAGAAAGAATAGGTTGGTTTTCTAGCAGAAGACAAGTACCTTGGTAATACGAAAGTTTAGCTCCTTAAAGACTAATAATAAGCAAGAGAGGTTCTGAGATACACCGTCATTAAAAGAAGGGAATAGGAGAGAAGTCAGGAGTGTCTTTGGGAGCTATGGAAACAGGCCATCCGAATTCTGGAGGAAGAGAAGACCTCAGTGGTATGCCCTCCCCTCCACCGAGACCCCCTTTTAGCAGAAAAGCATAGTGACACACAGCATAAAGGAGATCAGCCTCCCGTCAGTGTCCTACGAAAAATCCATTCAGTACAAGTGGCTTTCAAAAAGTCTGTGAAAAAACTATCAACAAAAAACTGTATTTTACTTCCATTTTTCCACCAACATTTTGAAGTCCTTTTTATGAGCCCGAAGGGTAAGCATTTAATGTACAGTAACGAGGAGGGGGCAGGTAAAACTAGAGCACAAAATGGATCACAATGAAAGCACACAACGAAAGCGAAGGCCGACCCACTGTAAAACACAGAACGAATGTCAGGCATCAGCCTGTGTGGAAGTTAGCAAAGAGGAACCCAACTGGCTGGAAAGCTTTCATCAAAAATGAAGCATTTTCATAAAAATGTACCCACATTTCCGTAAAACAGATATTAATAAGACTCTCTCCCATTGGGAAAGAGAAACCGACAGAAGTATCTATTTACATACCTCACAAATGTGCTGCAAGATGTGCAGTCTGTGCGGCAGAAGTTCTACAAAGTACCTTGAACTTCTCAGATGAAAGGCACTATAAAAATATTACAAAACACCATGAGTTATGCCTACCTGCTGTACATGGAAAAATTAAGTACAGGGTGTAAATTGGGCTTGCCCAAAGTTCCCTGAAGTAATTCAGAGTCCCCAGGAAAGGGAAAATACATACAAACATTCTCACTGACGGGTCATAGTTTATTGATATAAAATTCACTACCATCCACTTCCAGAGTTAAGTAACTTTAAAAAAGAATTGTGTACACATCATCACAATCAGTTCTCGAGTTCCCTCTTGCCTCTCGCTTCCATTATTTGCTCCCACTTCCCCCTCACTCCCCTCCCCCATCCCCAATAGACCCTTGCTTAGTTTTTGTCTCTCGGCGACCACCTGTTTCGTACACTGGGAAACATAACAGAAACCAGAAAAGAAAAGTAGAATAAATAAAAACGAAGAGGAAGAAAGAAAAGACCACCAGCAAATTAAAATAAGCCATAGGGAAAATGTCTATCATGGAATGAGGTATTTAAACCTAGTCTTGACCCCTTCTCACTTAACACAAAATACACAAAATCAACTGGTTGTGATATTTAAATCACTGAATTGTATTGTGCGCAAAGTATATGTCAATGAAATGGCTGAAAAAAAATGTACACAATCAACCTTATTTTCTGAATAATATAAATTCCTGTGCCTTTCTGGAGCAAAACTCAAAAAAGGCTGATGAATTTTATGTAAATGAATTTCCCTTAACATTTTATTATGAAAATGTCCAAACACAGTAAGGTTAGAAGACTCTTACACTGAGTATCTGTAACCCTAAGGCAGCCTGGTGGCGCTGACGTGTAAGTGTTGGACAGGTAACCCAAGGACAGTACTTCAACCACTAGTCACTCCAAGGAAGGAAGATAAAGCTGTCTGCTTCCATAAGGATTTACTGCTTCAGAAGCCCAACATAGACAGGTCTGCAATGAGCAGAGATCAACTGGATTGCAGTAGTTATGGGTGTGTGTGTAATGATTACACATTGAGCTAATTGCAAGGCCAGCAATTTGAAACCACCAGCCGCTCCAGGATGCTACTTTACTCCCGTAAGGAGTTAGTCTTGGAAACTCAAGAGGCAGTTCAACCCTGTCCTATAGGGTCATGAGGAGTTGGCATCAGCTCGATGTCAGTGAGTTTGGTATCCTACTACCTAAATGCTACCATGAACATTGTTTTTATCTGTGATGAAAATATACATAATAGAACGTTCAACAATTGAGCAATTTCTAAATGAATTCAGTGATATGGATACATTATGTTGTGCAACCATTATTACTATGCTTTTCAAAATTACGCTGCCACCCCATGAATTTTATTTTATAGTTAATTTACTTTTTAATAATCACAGAGAAATGACAGGCTGAAAGGTAACTGGCAGAAAATCAATGACTTTATAAAAACAGGCTGAAGTCAATGAAGAAATTCTACTTATTAGGAAATCCTTCTGATTTTTTTTATCAGAAATAGTGTTAAGAGCACTGCTCAAAGTTATAATGGATTTAACATTTACTCTTATTCACAGCAACTGATTCCAATTTTATTAGTTTAGTATCAGATTATGTCATTTTTTGCTAAGAAATTATTTCCTATCTCAGAACAAACACAAAGGACTTCCCATGGTCCTATAAAAGCCATGTACGATCTAGTCCCCGGCCACCTTTCCAACATCATCTTCCCTCTTTTCCCTTCAGCCATCCATTGCATTAGCTGCCTTATGGTCGTCACCTGAATATTAAGATACTGTGATAAATATACATAAACCCACATTTTATGACCCCCAAACAAAATAAAACAAAAACCCAAGCTCCATTTGGTAAGAACTGTACAGCCAGCCCTCACATTTTGATAACTGGCTATAAATATGTGTCCAGAATTATTTGGAGGAAGCATCCATCACCAGGCTAAAACCAACATCCGGAATGAGCAGCTTCAGCATCTATCAGATTTTCAGTCACATGAATACCATAATTACCAGTATATGAGGCCATCACTTACTTAATGCTACAGCACCAGAGATTAAAACGACTCACTTGAAATAGAAAACACTTGAAACAGGGACTTTACAGTAATTACTGACTTTAAACTGTCTTTGAAATTTTATTAATTTCAAAAATACTTGCTAGTGAGCATGTCTCCAAGGAGCAGAAAATGGTGAGATGTACATTTAACACTAATATGCTTAAAATTTAAAGTGCAGGCAAAACTGAGTTCCACTAACTAGACTTAAGAGATAAATGAAGTAGAAGGAAGGTTAGAATCATTAGGGAGTTTTTAAAACAAGTAGTATTTGGCCATTTTAAAATTTACTGGTAAAACAATAAAATTTACAGGTTATATATTGTTTGTCACTATGAATTAGACATACACTTCAACTCAAGGTCCTATCTACAGAAGCTCATCAAACCCAAGTCAGGCCTCTCAGAAGCTGAATTAATAGTTAACAAATTTCAGCTCTAGGACAATTAATACAGCCCACAGTTAGCACCCTAGCTCCTCCTGTCACTGCTTGGACCTCACCCCATGGACAGGAAACACCAAGATACACCTGCTTTCACTGCCTAGTAACTTACACTGCCACATGACCAGGATAAACTTTTTAAGAGTTAAGTGACTTAAGAAGGAATCAGGACCATGAAAACATAACAAAACCACCACCACTCACCCACACAGGCATACTAGGGAGGGGAGGCTGTTTAATTGATGTAAGCAGTCTCTCCACAACTCACCCAAATCTGTACTCAAAAAGGTCTATCCACCCACCCACTAACATCCATCAGTTAGGACGCACAGCAACCCTATCAGAGCAGGGGCAAAGTGCCCCAGTAGAGTGTACAAGGCAGTAATCTTTATCCAAGCAGACTGCACATCTTGCTCCCTCAGAGCAGCTGAAGAATTCAAATGTCCTGTGCTTTAATCACTGTGCCACCCAAGCGCCTTTAAAAGGCCTACAGTAACCAGATAGAACTTTAGTCTGGAAGAAGTTGGTCCATCCAGAAAACCCAAGGATCTGAAGTCAGGATTAGGCCATCCACTGACCCTTTTACACATTATCTGTTTCATTATTAGACTGCTGCAAGACCACCCAGATACAGAGGAGAATAGATCTCTTTGGAGAAAACAGAGGCTATCAGTCTAGGCCTAAAACCTGATTCAAAGCATGTTCCATGTTGTATTTTTTCACAATCACCAAGAGCTACCGGGGGTTCCATGTATCAAGAGTAGATGGAACTACCAACAATGTAACAATAGAGCCTCAGAAGTCATTCTTTACCATTAAGAACGAATCTTTATTTTTAATCCAAATAACGTCCCTTGTGCCACATGCTCAAAACAATATCCCCACTAATTTAATTCCGCCTAAGGTAACAATCACGTACATGTCCATGCCACATTTGGGTGGCAAAAGTATTCTTTACATACGCAAAATTTTTTTACTAAACACTCCCATCATAATCCATACATTCATCCTTTGTGTCAAGCACATTTGTACATACGCTACCATCATCATTTTCAAAGCATTTTCTTTTGACTTGAGCCCTTGATATCAGCTCATTTTTCCCCTCCTCCCTCATTAACCCTTGATGAGTTATAGATTATTTTATCTTACATCGCCTACACAAAAAAAATTTTAAAGAATGTTTTAAAACAAAAGGTATTTCCCCCATCATTTTTGCCAAGGATTATAATATGATGAAAGCACTTGACCCTCTCAAAAAAAAACAACTTTTAATTTCAAAAGGGTGTCTTAAAGGCAACAAGAACCAGATTAAGCCACAAAGTTAAAATTCTTGAATTAGGAATATTAAAAGCACAAGTGTAATTGTTATTTACCTTCTCTGTGAGTAATTTTTCTAAACTACCAGCTTTTGACCGAATCGATTTGAGTGCAAATAGTCGTATTTAATGACGACTACTGATTGTAATTGCGGTTCCACTCAGCAACGAAGGGCAAACCAAGACATGGACTAAGTAAAGCTGCACACTAGTTTTCATATGAGAAGTGCTCTCTTCAACTGCAAATGTCCTTTCCTTTCTTTCCCACAATACTGATAGCTCAGACCCCTCAGTTTACAACACAACCGCTTACTTGCACAATCTCCAAGAATACTGCATTTAAAAG